GGGGGGTTGTGTTTTATATGATTTTCTGTATATGAAATCTAGGATAGGTAAATCCACAGAGATGGGAACTGAATTAATAATTACTTAGGGGCATTACAGGGGTGGTTGGGGGTAATAAGCTAACAACAATGAGTATAAGAAAAAATGTTCTGAAATTGATTGTGGTGATGATTGCACAACTCTTTAATATGACTGAACTATTAAATGGTATATTTGAATGGAAAAAATAAATGGACTAAGCTATAGTTTAAAAAATGAGCTTGTGAAACATCCTACAACATGGCTGAATCTGTAGGCCATTAAAATATTTTAAGTAAGTCAATCACAAAAAGACATATACTCTATGGTACCACTATTATAAAAGTAAAAAATAGATGCACATATAGAAAACAAAATTCTTTGATGGTTACCAGGGATGGGAGGCAAAGGGCAAAAGGATTAATTTCTCAAGAGTAGACACCTTATTTTTGGTGAAAGGTTAAAACAACAAAAACTCAATGTCATCAAGTTGACGCTGATTCATAGTGACCCTATAGGTCAGAGTAGCCCCTGTGAGTTTCCAAGACTGTAACTCTACGGGAGTAGAAAGGCAGGATCAAATATGGATGAAGTCAGCACAACTTGAGGAGGTCAAATACAAGGGGGCTTAAACATTTGAGATAAAAATAGAATTAAGATATAATGGAATTCATACAGTAACATTGTTTTGTTCTGTTTTTAAATCATTTTACTGGGGGCTTATACAACTCTTATCACAATCCATACATCGACTGAATCAGGCATGTTTGTACATATGTTGCCTTCATTCTTTTCTAGACATTTACTTTCTATTGAGCCCTTGGTATCAGCTCTTCTTTTTGTTCCCCCTCCATTGCCCCCCTCATTACCCCGATTGTACATTTTCATCTCTCACACTGACCACTGTCCCCCTTCCCCCATGTTTTCTGTTGCTCTTCCCCCTGTAGAGGGATGTATGTTTATAAGTCGATCATTGCGATCAGTTCCCCCTTTTCCCCTTCCTCTCCCCCACTTCCCCCTACCCTTTTGGTATTACTATTCCCACTCCTGTTCCTGGATTCTGTGTGTCATGAGCTCCCATTTTTTTCCTATACCTGTGTGCATGTTCTGGTCTAGTCTGAATTGAGAAGCAGTACTAGGGTCATGATACTGGGAGGGTGAGGAAGCCTCAAGGAACCAGAGGAATATTGTGTGTTTCATCAATGCTTTACAGAATCCTGGTGACTCATCCCTTCCCTGTGGCCCCTCTGTGGGGAGATTGTTCCATTGTCTACTGATGAACTCTGGGCCTCTGCTCCAAACACCCTCATTCTCAACAATATGTTTTTGTTTCTTATGTGTCTGCTGATGCCTATTACCCAGTCCCTATGACTCCTCATGAATGCGCCGGCAGTGTGTTTCTTCCATATGGACTTGTTGCTTCACTGATGAATGGTGGCTTGTGTAACTTCAAGCCTTTAAGACCCCAGATGCTATATCTTTTAATAGCCAGGTGCCATCTGCCTTCTTCAACACATTTGCTTATGTCTTCAGCGATTGTGTTGAGAGGATGAACATCTCAGACTGCTGATTTATTAGAACAAAGTGTTCTTGTATTGAGGGAGGGTATGACCAGAGGCCCGGAGTCCATTCCCTCAGCGTACACTAACTTTTTGTACCCTTGCTTAAATCCAATATAACAAACCACAGAGGGAGCATTATTATGGAGAATTCCTAGGCATATCCAAACAACCTGCAGGATTGAGTTACAAGTTAAAAGGCCATAGACTCAGGCCATAGTCAATTGGCATAATACATTTCACAAAGACAATACTTTATACATTGGAACAGTGACTAGTTCTAATATCTTAAAAGCTTGGGAGTGACCATGCAAGATACAACGATTGGTTTCTATTTATAAGGACCAAAAGGGGATGAAGAAAATCAAAGGCTCAAAGAAGAAACTAATCCATGAGACTACTAGCTAGCCCACACAAAACACAGCTTCTTTTAATCTGAGACCAGAACTAGATGGTGCTCTGCTCAGGGACACAATAGAAAGTCCTGGATAGAAGAGAAGAAAATTTTAGAACAAAACTAAAATTCCTAATAAAGGCCGGCTTATTGGCCTAATTGAGGCTAGAATAACTCCCAATGCTATTGCCCTAAAATATTCTCTAAACAATTAATTGAAGCTCTTTCTGCACGTCACCTTTTTAACCAAATAATAGATTGGCTTATGAAATAAACGGTAGTGCCCCATAGTAATAACCTCCTGTAGACAATGAACTATATGAGACCAAACAGTAACCATTTACTCCTAAACAAAGGTGAGTAGGGAAGGGAAACTTGATCAATGGAAAAAGAACAAACCAAAAGGAAATAAGAATGTTGACACATTGTAAAAATTGTAACACAGAAAAATTGTATGAAGAGTATTAAAGGGGAATCAGTCTAATTTTCTGTGTAAACTTTTACTTAAAACATAATAAAATAAAATTTTAAAAAGTGAATTGTACTAAAGAAGGATAGAGCAATAATATAATTTAATCCTTTATCTTCTTGAAATGAATCCCTCCAAATTACTAAAATATACATATTTAGAACAGCAATAACTAGCTATTACAATGACCCGCACCATATTGAACCTTCCCGGATGGCTTGTTCAAGTATGTATAATATACAAGAAAAAAGTCAGGTGTTATTCAAATATTCTAGAAACAAAGTGATTACACCTACTTTATAGGAAAAGAAATGCTATTCTCTTCCTGTAGTTTTATAGCTAATTTGGGAAAACCTACTCATTTTTTTAAGGATTTGCTCAGGGATCCTCTGTCTTTACACTATAGTCTTTTAAATCTAGTTCAACCTTTTGTTTTCTTATGAAAGATAGGAAAGTCCAAAAAATAACAGTATACACACAATCCACAATTATAAAAATGTTAGATTTATCTTTGCCATGTTTTTATATTCATGTTCTTTTTATTGTGCACATTGATTCCTCATGTATCATTCCATTTCATTTATCCTGATAGGGCTGATCTTGCATCATCTATTCCCTGTACTGCTCCCCACCCCTTACTGGTTTTTTTTAAAGGAAAATTCCAAAAGTATAATTTCATACTTCAAGTATTTGATCAGTAAATATGCCATTATGTATCTTTAAAAGATAAAGACCTTCTTAAAGCAAAATAATCACAATATAGTATCACACCTAAAATTAACAGTAATTTTAAATATTATCAAGTTTTATATTCAAAAGAGCTCCGACGGTGTCGTTGGCAGTGTGTTAGGTTGCTAACTGAAGGGTTGGCAGTCTGAAACCATCAGCTGCTCCACAAGAGAGAGATGAGATTTTCTACTCTTGAAAAGATTTATAGTCTTGGAAATCCACAGAAGCAGTTCTACTCGATGATAGTTTTATTATATTCAAATTCTTCCCACTGCTACATAAATTTGATTTTTCTTTGTTCACATTATGAAAATTCATACATTTTTTAATAAAAGGAAAAGGACATAAAAGATAAGGTTTAGATGTTTTTTCTTACTCATCTTGCACTCATTCTCCACTTACTTTTCCAGAGGCAACTAATATAAATTTTCTATATAAATTTCCAGAGTGGATTCCTCCATATTAATTTATTAACAATAAATAGTTTTATTTTGGGTAAATGCTATTGTAGCATACTTACCCTCTTGTAATCTTTAACTATTATATCATTAATTTTATGCTCTTTTGCTACTACAATTGGTTAATTTGTAGGTTGATTTCTTTGTTTTGTTCAGTATTAGTAATGATTTCTTTTTTGTGTAAGCCTTTTTGAAGAACCACCTTTGGTTTTGCTATTCTTCTGTTTTGGTTTTATATTTCGCTAATTTTTATTCCTATCCTTAATTTCCCTATTTTAAAAATAAAAAATTCTACAATTGTAAAACACAATATGATCTCAACAAAGTTACTATGTCAATTCAAGCTTGATGTGCTATTTATTTTGAAATATCCATCCCAATTTCAAAAATGCTAAAATGTGCAAAACTGGATATCTTAGAATTGATGGTATATGGTATATGGAATTTCCTTCCATCTGTTACTTTGGCTTTACCGCTATTCCCTACGTTGTTTAAATTTACTGAGACTTCTTTTAATATGGTCTATTTTGGCAAATACTCTATACTGAAAATATAAATTAGATCACACTAGTTCTTCAAGTCTTCTTACGTCTTCGCGGGATCTGTATATTTGTTCTACCATTTAGAGAGAGGGTTTTTTTTTTTTTTGAAGCTTCCAAACTCTAGTTGTGGCGTTCTTTTTTCCCTCTCAGTTCTGTTTTGTTTCATGCATTTTGAAGCTTCATTATCAGATACCCCCATGTTTGCAATTGTTAGATCTTTTTGGAGAACTGTATGTATAGAATGTGATCTCCCTCTTTATTCCTATTAATATTCCTTGATCTGAAATCTACTTTTTGGAGAAAATATCCAGCTTTCTTTGTTTTAACACTTGCATGTCTTTATATTTCAGATGGGTTTCTGGTCGACAGCATTTAGGTGACCCTTACTTTTAAAAAAATTAATATGATAATGTATAAACGATGTTATGACAATTGACTATGTTCCAATTCCCCAAGCCCAGTGACTCATTCTTTCAAAGTATTTGGTTATGGCTAGGAAGTTTTCATAGCATCCATCCCTGTGGATCACCCTGCAGTCAAACAGAAAGGCCTATAAAGTGAATAATAACACTTGTGAGAAACATAGTTCTTAGAATAATTAACCATAGGAAACCAAAGGGCAGCATTGACCCACCAAAGCTCAGAAGACTGACGGCAGGGTAGGAAAGAAGGACAAATGGAAATGAGGGACCGAGGGAGGAAGTGCAAGAGTGTTGCCACATTGGGTAAAAATTGTGGGGGGAAAGTGCATAAAAATATTCTATTGTCTTTTAATTCAATTTTTATGAATAATAATAAACAGCAACATTTATTCAACAGTGCTTGAAATACCTGCTTTATTTTCTTTTGCTTTTGAAGACATTTCTGGCTGAGGAACAGTGATCCTATAAAGGATGGAAAAAGATGACAAAGAATTATAAAAAGAGAATTTAAATGGTCAAAACAAAACAAAAACAAGCAACAACAAAACCCCCTAATGAACTGGTTCCATTCAGAGTTTATTCTAATTCAATAATATAAAAATATTCAAGTTTGTGCTTAAAGGGAGGCATTACAATTTTAAGAAAAATATACTCATAATTACAAGCAAATGTTTATTTATAATATAAATCAAATTATATAATAGATTCAAATTTTCTTTTAGGGGGTATCTCATTAAAGAAAAAAATGCCAATTTTAAAATATATTTTCATTCTCTATAATGGGAATTCAAAAATTATTGCCATGGTCTAATTTTCATGTGTGGCTTGTTAAAATATGCTATAAAACAATCTAGCTCATTTTTCTAACCTAATTTCTCACCATCCCTCACCTTTTTCACAGTCAAGATCCCAGCATTGCTCATGGTTTTCTACAAGTCCTATTCTGTTTCAAATCTTCTGCTTGGTCAACTTATTTATCCTTTAAATTTTTGCTCAGGGATTACTTGTTATCTCAAGCATCCCTTGATCTCAAGATTAACCGCTCCTTGTGTATACAGTCCTAAGCATCCTGAATAAACTTCTGTCATAGCATTTATCACACTGCCTTGAAATTACTCGTCTGTAAGCCAAACTTGTCTCTCAGAATAGAAATTCTGTAGAGGGATAGGCTTAATTTTATTACTTTTTCTATCTCCATGTGTTATATACTCAATAATTGTGTATTAAGCTGAAGTGAATTAAAGAAGAGAGATGCATATTGTGGTTACATAATCTGTTGACAATTTGAGATTTAAGAGTGAAGGGGTGGAGTTTAGCCTGTAAATGAGGTCGCAGCTTGATGGGAGGCCCTAAGGAGATAAATAGCTCCTTGGAGGTGGGACACATGCTCACTCCCTGAAGCATGCTAGCTGACAAGACACATGGAGCTACTCTAAAGCCCTGGAGCTGAAGGAGCCAGGTGGAGACCCCTGCCAGCGCTAAGATGCCTCTACCAACACTGGATCCACAAGACTTTCCACCCACTGGCCTGTGATCCTCCTGAATTCGGTGTCTTTGCATGTGTTTTGTGAGTCTGAAGAGGAATTTATAGATTGGTATCAGACATATGGGCAATTATTGGACTTATGGACTTGATCTGGACCTGGCTGGGATGTTTTCATAATGTACAATTACTCTTTCTTTACATATATGAGTGTCTATGATTTTGTTTCTCTAGTCAACCCAGACTAACATATATACTATTTTGAAGTCAAGGAGAGGCCTGTTTTAATAAGGAAAGATAATTCATTTTATATAGAGAGTTTTTGGTATATTCATGTGGTAAGTTTTTTCCATTGTTATATTTCCAAAACTAAAGGCATGAAGTCAAACAGAAAGATCATGTTGTAGAACGCCACATGGTATAGCTTAACATTTTTATTAATGGGCTATATTTTTCTAATAGGAATGCTTTTCATTACATTATTCACTTATTCATGATCTAAAAAGCTGCAGCTTGTATGAAGCCTGTACTTAGCTATATAACTCTAAAATAAATACATATTGTATAGTTGCAGTTTTAAACTTTTTCAATGAATCAAAACAAGCTATTACTGGAAATTAGTCATCAGACAATATCAACTCCAACATGTGTCTGTCTGCGTCTGTAAAGCTTTACAGTCTCAGAAACCCTCTATAGTGTTGATGAGTTGGAATGAAGTCAATAGCAGTGGGGTAGATTTGTGGTAAGGTGAATCTACTCACTGCCATAAATCAATCAGTGTTGACTCACAGAGACCCAGATGGGTTTCCAAGACTGTAACTGTGTACAGTAGTAGAGAGCCCAGTCTTTTCCCCACAGAGCTATTGGTGGTTTTGAACTGCCGACCATGCGGATCGCATCCCAACATGTAACCACTACTTCACCAGGGCTCCATAAAGTAAATCTAAGTAACTTAAAAAATAAATAGTTAAATAACATGCATTTTAATATCCTAACATATCTTGGTTATATACATATTTTTAAATATGGTTATGAAAAGATCCCCCAACCCACTGAAAATAAAATTACTCATTTTCCAAATTCTAACATTATCATTATATTTAATGGAAATTGTTTAAGTTGCTTGGGACATTTTTCTCTGGAATATGTAATCATTCATTTATATAACCTAAATATCTTAAAAGCGAGGAGTTAGTTGGACAAGTAACCTAAAAGAAAGAAGTAGAACTAAAGAATGTCTACGGGTATCAACTGAAGAAATGACAAACAAGAAGGAAGACAAATGAAAAGAGAAGAAGAATAGAAAGATAACAGTATATAAAGCAATAGGATGACATGATAGGTAGTGGCAGGATACTATAAACATTATTTCAAGCGTTAAAGGCCATAATCTAATTTTGCCTTTATTATCACCAATGTATTGACCTAGACCCCAGTCACATGCTATTGTTGTTAGGTGCTGTTGAGAAGATTTCAATTATTAGAGACTCTGTGAACAACAGAAGGAAAGATTGTCAGGTAATACAGCACCCTCACACCATTATTTTGTTTGAGCTCATTGTTGCATCTACTGTGTCAATCCATCTCATTGAGGATCTTCCTCTTTTATGCTGACCATGCACTTTACCAAATGTGATGTCCTTCTCTAGGGACTAACCCCTTCCTAATAACATATCCAAAGTACATGAGATTGAGTTTCGCCATCCTTGTTTCTCCTCTCATTTACCATTCTCTGATCTATACAACAAGACTATAATTAATAAAATAGTGTTATTCATGCAAAGAAATGAAAGCTATCATATGTATCCACACATGCACACACAGAGACACACACATATATATAAATATAGATCCTTTATTTCATCTCTTCTGAATGTCAGATTCCTCATTTATAAAATTAAGGTAATTATGCTGCACCTAACTCACAGGGATACTAAGGATCAAATGAGGTAACATAAGAGACCTTGTTTTGTATATTGAAATGCTACATACTAATGGAATATTTTTGATGCCTCCTTCTAAGAAAAGCAGTAGACAATTACAAAAAATTTTAAACCCAGAATATAAGCAAGTTTTGAGAGTTTGTTCCTATAAGCAATATAGAAATTCAAGGTCAAGTCAAAAAGTATTGCTATGAAATAATTGACACTTTTATTAAAAAAATAGGAAAATGTGAAGCTATTATTTGTTGACATATCATCCATCGAGGTCTATATATTTCTGAAGGAGGTATTTCCATCTCTCTAACCCTTCCTCAAAAAAATTCTGCAGCCTTTTGGCTCTGAGCAACACCATGGTGGTCAGCAAGAACAACTGCCTTACATAAGGTGGCAAAAAAGGAGCTAAGAAGAAAGTGATTGATCCATTTTTAAAGAAAGATTGGTATGATGTGAAGGCACCAGCTATGTTCAATATAAGAAATATTGAGAAAACCCTAGGGACCAGGACTCAAGGAACCAAGATTGCATCTGATGGCTTCAAGGGTTAGATTTTTGAAGTGAGCCTTGCTGATCTGCAGAATGATGGAGCTGCAGTTAGAAAATTCAAGCGAATGACTGAGGCTGGTTAGGGTAAAAACTGCCTGCCTAACTCCCATGGCACGGGTTTTATGCAGGACAAAATGTGCTCCTTGGTCCAAAATGGCAGACCATGATTGGAGCTGATGTTGACATCAAGACTACCGATGGCTATCTGCTTCCTCTGTTTTGTTTTGGTTTTACTAAAAAATGCAACAATCACTTGGAAAACCTCTTAAAATTAGCACCAACAGAGCCACCAAATCTGAAAGAACATGATGGAAATCATGACCAGAGAGGTGTCATGACTTGAGAGAAGTGGTCAATAAACTGATTCCAGACAGCATTGGGAAAGACATAGAAAAGGCGTTCCAATCTATCCTCTCTGTGATGTGTTTTTCAGAAATGTAAAAATGCTGAAGAAGGCCGAGTTTGAATTGGGAAAACTTCTGGAGCTTCATGAAGAGAGTTTTTCTGGAAAAATTACTGGAGATGAGACAGGTGCTAAAGTAGAATGAGCTGATGGCTATGAGCTATGAGTTCAAGATCTGTTTAAAATTCAGACTTGTAATGGTGACAAATAAAAGATCTTATTTCAATTTACAACATATAAAAATGGCAGTTTGGGCATCCTCGAGAGACTGAAATTGTGTTTCTTTGAAATGTTCTTCAAGTTTGGGAAACAAAAAGAAGTCTTTGGGAAGTAAGGTGAATGGGGTAGAGTTGCCTGATAAAATTCACATATGGCAGCCTTTGCTGCCCTTGAAGAATAACCAGTTGCATTGCCATGATGGAAAAAATTTTTCTTGGTATAACTTTCCTGACTTTTTCTTACTACTGTTGTTTTAAATTTTCTTAAAACATTTTCCTAATAAGTTCTTATAATATTCCTGTGTCCTCTGAGAAAAATCGATTAAGACTACCTTTTTGAAATTCCAAACAACAGTAGCCATATCCTTCTGAGCCTTGAATTTAATGGGCTCGGCAGATCCCCTTGGAAACCACAGTTTTGATCGAACCTTCTTTTCATTTTCATGTTTTAAGATACTTGAATGAAACTAACAACACATGTCCTATGGAGAAAACTTGTCAGTAGTGACCACATAGATAGTTGGAGCACATTTTGTTTGGGATAAACTTTTGCATGTATGAACTAGATGCCCAGTAGTAAAACGTTTTGACTCACCTTCATAGTTTTGAATGATTAAACATCTTCAGTATTTTGAGATCATTAATTTAAATTAGCAAAGTTTTTTTTAAAAATAATCATTTTATTAGGGGCTCATACAACTCATCACAATCTGTACATACGTCATCTGTGTCCAGCACTTTAGTACATATGTTGACCCTCATTCTTAGGACACCCACTTTCCACTTGAGCCCCTGGTGTCAGCTCATTTTTCCTCCTCCCTCACCGCTCCCCCTCCCCCCGAACCTCCAATAATTTATAATTTATGATTATTTTATCATATCTTACCCCATCCCACGTCTCCCTCACCCATTCCTCCGCTGTCCGTCCCCCAGGGAGGAGGCCACATGTAGACCTTGTCCTCTGTTCCCCCTTTCTCCCTCTCCTTCCCTCCACCCTCCCGCCATCGCCATTCTCTCCACTGGTCCTGGGGGATTCATTTGTTCTGGGTTCACTGTATTTCCAGTTCCTATCTGTGCCAGTGCACCTCCTCTAGTCCAGCCGGATATGTAAGGTAGAATTGGGATCATGGTAGTGGGGTGGAGGAAGCATTTAAGAATCAGAGGAAAATTGCATATTTCATCGTTACTACACTGCATTCCGATTTGCTCCTCACCTCCCCGCAACCCTTCTGCAAGGGGATGTCCAATTTCCCCGGATGGGCCCTGGGTCCCCACTCTGCCCTCCCCCTCATTCACAATGTTATGATTTTTTTTATTTTTTAGTCTTTGATGCCTGATACCTGACCCTTTCGCCACCTTGTCATCTTACAGGCTGGTGTTTAGCAAAGGTTTTTCAGATAATAAAAATTATTTTAAAATTTTTCCTATAAGGCCTTCTTTTTTTCTTAGAAGCTCTCAGCTATTGAGTTGATTCCAATTCATTGTGAGTGACTTTATAGGGCAAGGTAGAATTGCACCTGTGGGTTTCTAAAGCAATAACTCTTTATGGGAGTAGAAAGCTCTGGCGAAGTGGCTGGTGACTTCAAATTGCTGACCTTGTGGTTAGCACCCAATGAGTACACCTTACCTCACCAGGGATCCTTAAGAATACAATAGAAATGTAAAAAAATTCTGTATTTAAGCTTTGTCTAAGCTTTATATTGTTTGTTTGTTCTTTCTGTTTATAGAATACAGGCAGTCCCTGGGTTGCAAATGAGATCCACTTCTAAATGTATCTTTAAGACTATCAAGACTTCAAACTGGTTCTACCTAGTTCAGTGATGGCCATGGGCCATCACTAAACCAGATTCAAAAATTTAAAGTTAAATAAACGGTAAAGATCACCAGAATAGGAAAAATTACAGGCTGGGGCCCTGCTATAAACTTAATCTCCTTTTTACAGCATCAAAATCTTTTCCCTTCCACCAGCATGTGTGACCACGAGCTGTCAAAGGGATCGGGTGTCAGGCATCAAGGAACAAGAAATTATGTCATTGTAAAGGTGGGTGAGAGCAGAGTGGAGACTCAGATTCCATTGGTAGGCAACTGAACACCCCCTTGCTGAGGGGTTGTGTGGAGGAGATGAGCCAATCAGGATGCAGGGTAGCAACAATGAAATATATAACTTTCCTCTAGTTCTTGAATGCTTCCTCTCCTCCACTATCATGATCCCAATTTTGCCTTGCAAATCTGGCTAGACCAGAAGATATACATTGGTACAGATAGCAACTGGAAACACAGGGAATCCAGGATAGATGATTCCTTCAGGACCAGCAGTGAGAGGGGCGATGGCTGGAGGGTGAAGGGAATGTGGGGTAGAAGGGGGGAACTGATTACAAGAATTTACGTATAGCCTCCTCCCTGGGGGATGGACAGCAGAGAAGAGGGCGGAGGGAGACGTCGGACAGTGTAATTTATGACAAAACTATAATAATTTATGAATTATGAAGGGTTCATGAGGGAAGGGGGAGTGGGGAGGGAGGGGGAAATGAGCAACTGATATTAAGGGCTAAAGTAGAAGGCAAATGTTTTGAGAACGATGAGGGCAACAAATGTACATATGTGCTTGACACAATGGATGGATGTATGGATTGTGATAAGAACTGTACGAGCCCCCAATAAAATAATTTTTTAAAAGAGCTCAAAGGCACACGTGCTGCGTGAACATAAGGCTTGTCCCCCAGAACCGATAGAGAGGAGAGGATGCCTTCCCCCAGAACTCTGAATCTGGACTTCTCATCTCATGGAAGCCATCTTCTCGAATCTCTGTTACACCAGCACTAGCTAACCAAGAAAGCAGGGGTGCTAGAAGTATCAACAGACAACATCCTCAAAATACGTTATTTTGGCAATAGTTTATAAAGATGACATGTCTAGAAAATTTAGCCTGAGAAAATAATTTGTGACTATTAGTTAATATAATTTTCTCATATTCAAGTCCTGCTTATATTATTTGCAAAGTGACTATATATAAAAAATGTTATATTCTGTAAGATAATTAAAAATACACTACTACTTTTAGAAAACAAAAAAACCTTTTCCCTTCAAAATCTGAGCACATTCAAAAGCAGGGCTGTCACTCACAAAGATGCTGGCACCCTGCTCAAAGATGGTGCCACCCCACTCAAAGATGGCTTGTCCTTTCCCCGTGCCCCAAACTCATAAATGGCAGATGACCATGCTGTTGGAATGTGTCCCACAGTCCTGCCAATAATCCAATCTCATGCATCAGATTCCTGCAAGGCAGTCACTATGACTTTCCTAAATATCCCATTGCGGGGCTTCCAGCCATAATGGTTCCCACCCTTAGTATTGCACCAAATCTGCCAAATGATAAAACATTGGGTTTGTTTCCATTTTGATTTGCTATCTTTGACAGAAGCAGTTTAAAGGGAAAGTAGGGTTTGTCCATCAATTGGCTATTCATAACCTGGGGACTGCCTATAAATATTATCAATAGAATAAAATCAAGAGGGTTTAAAGACCTTTAACTATTTTATTTCTTAAGTTTTTATTTTGAATGAGCTACTGGATTTTGACTACATTTTAAAAATCCAACAGAGCAATATATGATACTTTATGCTGTCTACTTCTTTGAATTAAAATGTTGGTTGATAAAATCTCTTAAACGGTTACATTTTCTTTTACTGTATCAATAAAAGCCAGACAAGCAGGTGATACATTAGAGTTAGCAGACAATTATTCTAAAAAACTATACTTCATATGCTCAAGGAAACAGAGGGGGAAATGGACAAAATATAGGAAAAGACAAAAAGATAAAACCATAAAAGAACACTGAAAAAAAGGATTGAATCCATTTTTAGAAATGGAAAATCACACAGCTGAATTAAGAATTTAATGAATTGTCCCTGTGGACTTCTGAGACCATAACAAGCCTCATAGGTTTCACTTAGGGTAGGCTTGTGGTTTCAAACTGTTGACCTTATGGTTAGAAACCTGAGTAATCCATTACACTACCAGGGATCCTGTGTAAGCACTTGGCAAATAAATGCAAACTGTAATGTTTCATGATAAAGTGAAATGCTTTAAATGATACATTTAAAATAAATTTTTTAAATGTTTGCGATATGTGAGAGGTGTGCAATTTATCTTACAGAAAGCAATTTGAGCTTTTGTCCAGCTAAACCCACACCTGAGGTCAATAAATGGGAGCTAGCTAAACCAACACATGAGGTCAATAAATAGGAGCTTGCCAGACCCACAAGAGACACCTGCAGGCATGGTAAAATCTATCATAGCCACGTGGGGAGGTCAATAAGAGCCCTGAGCTCTACAGCTCAGACGGGGTTCATGATTGATGACTAGGCTCTGAAGAGGCTATCATGACTCTCTTTGGGACATGGAAGCTCTATGCGGTGACTTCTCCCAGATCTCACTCTATGTCTCTTTGTTTGTATCCCTTTTGGTGGTAATAAACCTGTAGCTGCAAGTATTGTATAAATCCCAAAACAAACCTAATGTCATCAAATAAATTCCAACTCATAGTGACCCTATACAGAATTTCTGAGACTGTAAATCTGCGGACAGATAGCCTCATCTTTCTCCTGAGGAGTGGCTGATGGGTTTGAACAACTGACCTGATGGCTAGCAGCCTAATGCCTAACTGACAGCACCACCAGAACTTAAGTATAATATACTTTCCATGAATTCTGTAACTTCTAGTGAATTAACAGTCCAGGCCTACAGGAGCAGTGAGAGCTAGCAAGGGCTGGTGGTAATCTGAAAGGACATGGCCTTTTACCCTGTGACCTCATCTCAACTCTATAGTACTGAGTACAACTGTCCCTGGGGGTTTACAGGAATGGAAAGCCTCATCTTACTCCCGTGGACTGGCTGGTGGTTTCAAACTACCGACCTGGTGGTTAGCAGCCTAGTGCATAATCACCATGCTACCAGGGCTCCTCGATGGCAGTGAGAATCTGTGAACTGTGACCCAGCTCTGAGTGACTAGGGTTTAGAGAGACAGGGTGCTGTTTACAAGGCCAGTGAAATTGAATTCATGCTGATCCTTACTGGGCAAATACCAGTGAGGGTGGGATTGACACACTGTGCCCCTTGCTTAGTGTGGTATGTATATTGTTCTATAATTCCTCATTTTAGACTCGATTTTAGCCAAAAGACCAAGGAAGAATATATATATATAATTCTTCATTTTAAACATATTTTAATTATCTTGCTGAGCATTGCAGACTAGGAGGCTTCTACTATAATAGATCGTTTTATAGGTCAGAAACAGAACCCAAAGGAACAAATCAAATGGGGTCGTATAAATGACTTACAGGCTAGCATCTGCGTCTTTCTGAGCTCCCATTTTCTTGCTCAGACTCGGAATTGTAGATGCACAAGGAGAACTCCAAGGACTCACAGGTTCACCCTTTTCATAATGGTGTCCATGGCCACTTTCCAGACTTTCATTGTCTCCTCCTGCTGCTCTTGAGGGTAGATCAGCATGCTAAAATCAACAATTTGGAGAACACGTCTAAAACTCATTTTCCAAAATGATTTCTCCTTTCAAAGACAATTTTAATTCAGCCACTTAAAAAATCATCTTGAGAGTCATGCTCGGTATCTGCATTCACAACAGTGCTTTCATGAAGATGATTTATCCATATCCACTTAATAAGTATTTGAAAAATAAATAAAACCCCAGATCTTTCCCCCTTATGCTTGTATAGTGAAGAAGTTTAATTAGATGACCCTTTCCATAGGAGCAGGAACAATCTGAAGATATATTTTTAAAAGATACACTCATGGGATAAATTATCTTGATTGTGTCTGGACTCCGGAACTTTTTTTCAGACCTTTCAGCCTATAATAAGCATTTCCACCTCTTATAGACCCAAAGTAAGATTCCCATGCCAAATATATAGAGATAAAACTTCCTGGCGAAGAAGCTTTTCTGTAGGTCTGGCCTGCACAGAAAGTGGGAAGGGGATCATATATTTGTACATTACCAGGAAATTTAAATATACAATCATAATAGACTCAAATTATGCAGAAAGCAAACACAAGACAGCAAAAGCCAAATCAAGATTCCGGGTATTGAGAAACTTGGGCAATGTCAAAGGCGGTGATGTTTAGCTTAGCCTGTCCAAAAAGAAATGACAGAAAAAGGAAACAAAGCCCCAAATGAACATTTTAATTCACACTGGAAGGTTTACATCATTAAGAATGAATACATGTGTGTTCTGAAGGAAATATACAAGGTACCACTTATAATTATCACAGCACTTTCAGAGATATACTACTGATTCTCTGGAACCATACCTGAAGTGTTTCTGATGCTGAAGTACTTTGAGTTGCACCTCTATGAGGGAAATACTTTATAGCAGTAATTATCCCCTGAATTGCAATACGCTTTTGTTCCCTATACTGTAAGTTTTCAATTGTCTTCCTCACTTCACTTGTAGCTATCAAGAGCGATTCAACTGCAAAAGAGTAACACCAAGGAAACTGTAAGGTTTAAAGAACTGAAATTATAAAAGCAAGAATTAGATTTGCAATGCAATTCTACAACATAAAATTTAAAACTTGCTACATTAATCTAAAATTGTAAGGCTGCATTTATATTTGGCATCCCCTTAAGTAATCTGTGTAAAATAGGCAAAATATTTTTGATCAGTTACATAATAATACAGCTGTCCAGGCTGGAGTCTTGATTTGCAACAAAACTTTTACATATTAAAACTGATTTGTATATCCTATTTCAAACAATTAAGTGTTGATTAGACCCTGCCTGGAAACACACATTTTAACCACACACTATACACTGCTAGTGTGATGAAATATAAGAGGATGTCAATATTTAGATAAGTCAGAATTTTCAAGTTTCTGTTTTTCAAACACCACACAATTATCCCATAGCTTACAAAATAACATAGCTATGTCAATATTTTCAAGGACGATATCTTAATTTTGTTAAAAAGCAAATTAACAGTAGGCCTTTCATGAGTAATTCAAATTCAGCATCTCGTTTACTTTGGCATCATCTTTATTTAAAGTTAATACTCAGTTGTGTTATCTGTAACATTTATAATTCCATAAGAACAGCATAATACTATTGTCATCATCTAGCTATCCAATTGCTCAGCATCTATTTTAGAGCTCTTTGGTCTCTCATTTAATTTCATAGGAATTAAGATCTACCAAGGCCGGATCTGATCTCAATGGCATTAAACCAGGATATTATTTCCAGGTTGTCATCTTCTGCATTCTGAATTTTAAAAAGAATCTAATTACAAACAAAACACTAAACATTAAGAGGCATGACATGAATTTTCAGATCTATATAAACACATTGATTATCAGTAAGGGTCAGTGCACTTTGTATAATTTAAATAATATAAGTAAAAGAACAAAGTTGATAAATTGAAAGAGTATATAAAGCTTTATTAGTACCTTTAACAGAGCTACTATACTTTGAAAATGTCTCCGGTACTTGGGGATAGGGGTAGTATCCACCAAACACAGTATTCTTCATTTCTTCAGACCACCTCTTTCCTTTCACCCAGTGAATAAAGTTTTTGACCTTGGCATCATGGGCACAGGGCTGGTCTTTGGGATCTCCTTGCACAAATGGGTAATTCATAAAGAAAATGAAAAAGAAAATATCTCTATAATAAACTGGACAGACTTTTTAAAACATAAAAACAATATAATATCAAAATAGTTTTTCTGTCATCAAAAAAGACAGTCTAATTCACCTGCATACTATGTTGTAGAAAAGTATACCTAACATGCATACAAAAAATAACTCAAGTACTGCAAGCAAACCCACAATCAAGAAGGAAGGGCAGACATACTAGAGTTTAAGTGGAATAATCTGTCAGCTAGCTACCAAACAAAGAAACCAAACTCACAGGCATCGATTCCATTCTGATTCATAGTGACCCTATAGGACAGAGTAGAACTGTCCCTGTGGGTTCCCAAGACTGTAAATATTTACAGGAATAGAAAACCTCATCTTTCTGGTGGGGAGATGCTGGTGCTTTCAAACTGATGACTCTGTACTTATGAGGCCAAAGCATAACCTACTATGCCATCAGGGTTACAGGATGCAAAAAAAAAAACACAAGAAAACAACAACAATGAATAATCTGAAACGTTCTAACTATCCCAATGTTGGAATATTTTTAAAACCTGATTTTTAAAAATCATGTACTAATTCAGAGGTGTGGCACCACGTGGCACTACTAACCAAGCAGGGTCAGTGATTCAAACCTAGCAGCTGCTCGGTGGGAGAAGGGTGAGACTACCTACTCTTGTAAAGATTTATAGTCTTGGAAACCCTATATAGTGTCGTTAAGAGTTAGCATCGACTCAATGCTAGTGGGGTATGATATTACATATAAACTGCTTATAAATATATGGCTCAAAATGTGTCTTAAAATACTAAAATTTTCTTTTAAAATAGACTAGTGGTTTTAAAAAACATCAGATGTTTTATTGTGAATTGGGTGAAAGTTTATAAAGCAGATCAGTTTTTCATTTAATGACTCATGCACGTTTTGTTTAATCCCTTCAGTATAACATCACCTATCCCACGTCTTCCCTGTGTTTCTTATTCCCATTCTTTCTTTCCTAACATTTCTGCACTTTGTCTTTGGGTAAATGCTGCCCTTCTGATCGCTAATGGTTGATCACTGTGTCTATACCTCGCTAGTGTCAATGTTTCCCTCATAGACCTATCTATTGTTTAGCTGACACCTTGAGGATGAGTTCATTTCAAGACTTGAAGGGTAACTAAAGGTCATGGTCTTAGGGGTTCCAGTTTGCATCCAACCAGTAAGTCTGGTCTTTTTTATTTCTTAGAGCATATTTAAAATGTCATATTTACACCTGATATTATTAGTATTTATAAAACAAGAACTTGGCAAAGATGTGGATGACACCTTTTCTAAGCATCTTCTTTTGCCAAATGTCCTAATTACCACCATAGTAATAGTCTTGTAAACAGTCCATTCCACGCTTGTAAACAGTCCATTCCACACTATCATTGTCTTATTTGGTAAATCTTGTCTTTTTTTTTAACCTTGTCATCACATGGAATAGAGAAAAATAATGTGCTCATAAGCAAGTAGCAAGGCTAATCTTGCTGTATAAATAAAATGAGTCTGAGGCTAAAATCTGACACTTTTTATTTAATTTAGTATTTTAAAATATTGTTAAGTGAATGGTGGTCTAGGGCCTACAATTCTTAAATTTATTAAGCAATTTACAATTATCTACATTCTACATCAAGAAATGTTAAAGTTACCCAAAGGATAGAAGCTTCATTCTATGGTGAGTTACAAACAATGCTTTAATCATAAATAATTAAGGAGCAATATATTCCATAGATAAAATAGTATTTGTTAAAACGTTCTAACAGCAATAAAAGTGGAGGGAGTCATTTTCAAATAAAGCTATCTGAGGTTGAATGTCCTATAGGTTCTAGTGAAAAGAAAATATATTTCCAATAAAATGTACATTAAAAATATACTCACCAGTAATACTTATTCTACTATCATTTGTAGTAATGAGGTAAAGCAGTTTAGGCTCTTGTTCACTATTTTTCATGATTTTCAACTGTGTACATATGAAATATGTCACTGCAGAGAATGAAAACATATTAAAATGACTTTTCTCTTTCAAAGGGGACATACTGAGATCAGGGCCTATTACAATACTTCTCAAACTTAAAAGAACATAGTGAAATGGACATTTCTTAATTTCAAAGTTCCAGAGGCTAATGTGAAAATATAAATTGAGTCAGAAGATCTTAGACTGGGGTTAGAGATTCTAATAAACACATACTGATGCTAATAATAAACTCATAGGTTCCACTAACCGCACTTGAAGCAACAAGGCCATAACAGTTATTAGCTAATTTTTGTATGAGAACCCTTCCCATTGCTAAATTACAAACGCATTTAACTAAAGTCATTTGCTTGTTGCACACCTGAAGGGTGCAAGAGTCATTGTAACTGTTAAGACAATGAAGTTTTCAACGGTTCTTTCTACAAAATAAAATTTACTTCTTCCGTGATGTCTTTGCTGATAAAACCAATCTAACCAACCATAAAATACTCTGACTTCTTCCAGCAGAAAGATTTAGAGTGTATTAAATTGTATTTGCTTATGCAAGTGTTTTATGTCTGTGTGTTTATCTTAATCACATATTATACATTATCTTACATGTTATATATAACACCTATTAATTTCCTTCCCATCTTGTTAACTAACTTGAAAGGATTCTTTAGTTCCCTGAAAATGAGATGTCTTTAGACTTCAGCTACATGTATTTTCTTTTTTTAAAAATTGTCTCTCTTTATTTTGTTAACTTTTTCTCGTGAATTAGATGAAAATTGACAGAGTAAGTCACCCATTTGGCATTCAATAATTCATACACACTTTATTACAACTTAAATGCATTTTCAAACGCTTTGGATTGTTAAGCGAATCAACAAGACCTGAAGTTGCTTCTTTGAAAGGATTAATGCAATCAACAAACCACTGGCAAATCTAACAAAGGGAAAGAAAGGGAAGGTGCAAATAGCATGAATAAAAAATGAAAATGGGTAACATCACAAGAGAATCAACTGAAACAAAAAGGACAATTAGAGAGCCTATGAAGAACTATACTCCATCAAATGGGAAGACATAGAATTCAATGAATTTCTAGAAACACACTACAAACTGAAAGTAAGTGCAGTAAAGTATAAAATCTGAACAGACCCTTAACAAAAGAAAAAGTTAAGTAGGTCAATAAAATTTTCCCAGACGGCTTCACGGGTGAATTCTACTAAACACTGAAAGCAGAGTTAACATCAATTCCACTTAAATTATTCAAGAACACAGAAAAGGATGGACTACTTGAGCTCATTCTATGAAGCAAGATAAGACCCATACCAAAGCCAAGCAAAGATACCACTAAAAGAGTAAACCATAGACCAATATCCCTTGTGCATATAGATGCAAAAATTCACAACAAATTCCTAGCTGATAGAACTCAACAACATACAAAAAATACTACATTATGAACAAGTGAAATTCACAACAGGTATATGAGGATGGTTCAACATTAGAAAAACAATCAATGTAATCTAGTGCATAAATAAAACAAAAGAACTATTTGACAAGTTCAAGCGATACAGGAAATGCATTTGATAATATCTTAAGAAAATGCATTTGATAACATGCAAAACCAATTCCTGATGAAAACTCTCCCTAAAATAAGAACAGGAGGAAAAGTCCATAATATAATTAAGAGGATATGAGATTAAGCAAAAGAGGATTGTTACTATGGTTCCAATTCGTATATGCATGGACTGATTTCAAAGAAAACACCTTTAACTATGTCTCTGCAATCAGTGGATGACTACAGACACTGTAATCCTCTTAGTATTAATCTTGTTAAATCCACTGACACTGAGTTGACTCCAACACATAAAAGCTCTCTTTAGGTTTCTGAGGCTATGTTTATGGGAGCCAACAGCCTAATCTTTCTCCTGGTTGTCTAGTTGTGGTAATTGGAAAGAAAAGGCACAATCAAAACAGTGGCTTCTGAGGGGATTTGCTGGGCCAGTTAAATTCAAGGCAGAGAGATCAGCTCAGAAGGTTATGACAAATGTTTGGAGATTCCAAAGGTGTAACCTTGATAATTACTTGAAGGGCACAAAGTTTCTTATGAAGAAGTTTAGTCCCTCAAAGATAACAAAACTGCCATTTTGATGTGTTGTAAATCAAAGAGTACAGAATTCCTTAGGGGAAAGGTTAAACCAAAACAAACAAACCAGCCATCCAGGAGGGGCTGGTGAGTTTGAACTGTCAACCTTGTAGTTAGCAGTCCAGATGGGAATACCACTTTCAGATGTGTAATGACCTAGATGAAGTATAGATAGAGGAACAATAGCTTTACATTTTATTGTTGTTGTTTAATAACAGTTTCTATGATTTTGTAACAATACTTTTCTACTTACCCTCTTACATACAAAATCAAAAGCCAACATTAGCTTCTGTAAAAAGAGACTGAATATATCCCCCCTGTCAATGGGAACCAAAGAAGAATGTACTCCCACCACTCCTATTCACCATTGTATTAAAAATTCTAGGGTGAACAATAAGGCAAGAATGGGAAATAAAAGGCATCCAAATTAGTAAGGAAAGTAAAACTACTTTTATTCACATACTATATGATCCTATACACAGAAAACCTAAGAGACATAACAAGGAAGCTACTGGAACTAATAGAAGAGCTCAGTAAGGTAGCAAGGTACAAGATGAACATACAAAAATCAGCCAGGTGCCTCTAATAAACAGTTCTCTGAAAAGGAAATTAGGAAAACAATATCAGTTATAATATTGAATATTGAAATACTTACAAATAAACCTAACTAGAGACACACAAAAAACTACAAAACACAATAATAAGAAATCAAAAGAAACCTACCTAAATGGAAATCGGCACTATATTTATAGATCAGAAGACAACATTATAAAAATGTCAATACTACCCGAAGTGATCAACAGGTATAATACAATCCTAATCCATAATCCAATATCATTCTTTGAAGAAAGGGAAAAATGAAATGTCACCTTTGTGGACTGAAAAGAGATCTCAGAAAGGCAAAGAATTACTAAAGAAGAAAAACAAAAGGAGAGCCTTCACATTTCCTGATCCACTACGTATTCCACTATATAGCCATGGGAGTCAAAACAGTCTTGAATTGATACAATGACAAACACAGAGACCAATGGAGCACAGTCGAGAATCCAGACATAAATCCATCCATTTATGGTGAGCTGAATAAAATGTATATAAGTTGTTGCATGGAAAACTAATATGCTAAGAAAACTTTCACCAAAACTATAATAATTAAGGAAATTACCACTATTGATTATTTTTAACTACCTATATGTTGCTTAGGTAGTGAATCCAATATTATTTAAAATTTTTTATCTCATTATATACAAAAACAATTATGGTATTACAGATTAAGAAATGAAGAAATATTAAAAAAACAAATTCTTGAAGTAGTACAATAATAAGTTCTCATTTAAGAATAAATATTTCTTTACAGTAAGATAACAATAAATGCATGTCCTAAATCTCATGTTGACTAGTTATTTATTCTGTATCAATTATAATAAAGAAATTATTTTCAAATAATTAAGACCAATTTTATTAATTTATATCTCTTTTCCTTTACTTTAGAAACTGGATAAACAGTGCCAATGAATGGTTAGAGGTGTTGACATAGGACTATTAAAAAGAATTCTCTACTTCTAAGTTACTGGCAATTAAAATCAGTCAGTTAGACATCTAATACTTTCTAGTTATTTCACATCCAGAAAATTACTCAATCTCTCCGAATCATCTAAAAATGTGTAAAACCATCACTTCCTTAAAAAGTAACTCAGAGTATAAAATGAGATAAAAATCTATAAGCTACTGGTACTTAGCAAACAGAGAATATTAGTTTCTCTTAATTCTTAACTTTCATTAAAAGTTAAAAAAAATTTAAAAGGAAGAAAGATGTCCTATTAACAAATAATCTTGCTATTATTCTAGAAGACGCTTGGTCATGGTCCCCATCATAGGCTTGAAGCCCTCTTAATGTTTTTCCTCTTCACTACTGGTGAGAAGTTAAAAATAAATCATGAGTGAGGAGAACAACTATACAATAATAAATCTCACTAGGGTATATATAAATTTCGCATGATCATAACAAATAGAACATATATCCAGGGGCAATGTTTCTTGGAGAAATCTTAATCCAATGCTTGTTGTTTAAAGGGGCTCTAAACACACAGAGAAGGATCTGGCCATAAAACCCACCTAAAATGAGGTAATGGAATTACTACCAGAGACCACCACTGTAAATCACTTATTCCCTAAATGAAACTTTATGAGGGGCCCACTTATTTTGCAAAGAGATACCTAGGTTCTGAACTAAACCCTCTTTATTTTCCCTCTCCTTTAAACTGGGCTAAAGTTAAATTCTATTCAAGATATAAAAAACATTTGAATTTATAAACAGGGGGTAGAATCTGAATGGTGAGCAAGGAAGCTTTGCAGCGAGAAGAAGGGGCAGGCAAACAGCCTCTTGGTAGCATCGATGGTTATATGTTGGGCTGCTAACCAAAAGGTCAGTCGTTCACATTCAGCTGGAGAAAGATGAGGCTTTCTGAACTCCTAAAAAGATTTAGAACCTCAGAAACCCTATAAAGGGACACCAGGAGTCTGAATTGACTCCACGGTAGTGGATTTGATTTTTTGTTGTTACTGTTCAGTACATCCCTGAATATGGTCTCTAAGAATTTTTGTGTTCTACAATGTCTTCTTCATTGGTGGTTAAAAAGAATTAGATGGAGTCAAGACTGGGAGCTTCCTTAATGCTGGCAAGACGCAGAGAACAATGAGAATTTTGCTCATATAATCATTTATACAATGCGACAGAATACCATATCTAAAGTGGCTTCATGCTCAGACTTCAAATAATGTCACATTCTCTTCACTTGTTGAAAGTTTTATATATATATATATATATCATAGCAGAGCTAAACACTAACTTGATATTTGAATTCTATAATAAAGAGGGCATACCTAAAATGGTTTCAAAGACACAAAACCAATAGAAAAATGATAGCACTGATGAAACACACAACTTTCCTCTAATTCTTTGGTGCTTCCTCGCCCCCACTATCATGATCTCAATTCTACCTTACAAATTGGATTAGACTAGAGCATGCACACTGCTACAGATAAGAACCCGCAACACAGGGAATCCAGAATAGATAAAACCAGTAGGGCCAACAAGGAGAGTAGAGGTACCTGGAGGATTAGGGGAGGGTGAGGGGAGAAAGGGGGAATCGATTACAAGGATCAACTTAGAACCCCCTCACAGGGGGATGAATAATGGAAAAGTGGGGGAGGGGTAGTGGACGACAATGTAAGATATGAAAAAATAATCTATAACTTAATCAAGGGTTCGTGAAGGAGGGTGGGAGGGGGTGGGAAGGGGAAGAAATGGGGAGCTGATATCATGGGCTCAAGTGGGAAAAGAATGCTTTGAAAATGATGATGGCGGTATATGTGCAAATGTGCTTCAAACTCTGGAGGAATGTATGGATTGTGATTAAGAGATGTAAGAGCCCCCAATAAAAGTATTTAAAAATCAAAAAGAACCTACAATAGTGGCAAGACACCCAAAACTCATGGATTGAACTCTAGAGATGTTTAGGAGACTAAACTGAGGAAAAATGATCAAACATTTGTATATTTGTAATAAGTGAAAGCAGGCTATAAAAATTCTTTTAGTCACTTCTGCTTCCCATTCCACATACAAGCATCTATAGTTCATGACATTTCAAAAGAAAAGCTTTATTAACTACTGTCAGATAAAATTAAAATTACCTATAAAATAAAAAAGAGAAAAATAATGACCTTTGTATCTTTATCAATTCAGGGGCAAAAACTTAATGCTACAGTAAGCAAAATATTGAATATCTGGTAAAACACCACTAATCAAATATTTATTTAGTACTCAAATATAATCATACTTTATATTTGCATTATTAAATTACACAGTATGTCAATCATCTATAAATTAACTCCACTTTAGTAAAACCTTCTATTTTTCTAATGGGGTCTGAGTGAATACCACCAAGGATCCCTGGAGTCCTGGTGACATAATTGGTTACACTTTGAATCCACCAATGTTCGACAGGAGAAAGATAAGGCTTTCTGTTCTGGCAAAGATTTACAACCTTGGAAACCCTATGTAGGGTTGTTATCAGTTGGAATCAACCAGATGGCAGTAAGCTTGGGTTTGGCTTTTAGTAAGTTCTGCTAGCTGCTCTGGAATTGGCTTGAAGGCCAAAACAAAAGTAGACCAAACTCACTGCCACTGAGTCAATTCTGACTCATGGCGACACTATTAGGACAAGATAAAACTGGCCCTTTGAGTTTCTGAGACTGTGACTCTTTACGGGATTGAAAGCCCTGCCTTTCTCCTGTGGAGCATTCTGGTGGTTTCAAATTGCAGTCCAACAGAGAACCACTATGCCACCAGGGCTGTGTTGACTCCATGGCAGTGGTTCCAACAAAACTCCAAAGCCAAACTCACTGTTATCGAGTGGATGCCAACTCATAGTGACCCTATAGGACAGAGTAGAACTGGCCCTGTGGGTTTCCGAGGTTGTAACTCTTTATGGGAGTAGAAAGTCTCACCTTTTTTAACATGAGTAGTTGGTGGGTTTGAACTGCTGACCTACTAGTTAGTAGGTAACCCATTATGCCACCAGGGCCTTTGAAGGCAATGGGTAGTTAGTTCCAAATGGATACAAAGGGAATTTACCATGCTTGAATTTTATTGAATCTGAAGCTTCTATGTATGAAATGCTAATAAGATAATTAATAAAGAGCATCTGTTTCAGAAAAACTGGTTTCAACTCCAAATTAATTCTGAATAGACAACTGGTGAAATCTTCTCCAAAGAAGGTGCATAATATATGTAAACACCACATATGATATTAATAGAGAAAATATTTAAATACGTTGTCATGATGTTTGCATTTGCTTATTCAGTTTTATGTTACTGCTGTAGGCCAGTTCAGCATGTTTCCTAAAGTCAATGCCCCCCTCCCCTGCCCTTCTAAAATTAAATGATAAAAATAGAAAGAAATGAGTACTTGGGTAAAGATTTTCAAAGATGTCTGGCTGAGATGTAGAGAACAATTTCACAATAAATGGCTCCTGTGAAGTCTGATCAACAGCGTGAAGCCAGCGAAATGTCCAAAAGTCTTCACGCTTTTCTACATGGATCAAATATTAAAATAAAAAGGGTCACTGTTGTGTACATGTGAACACACTGAAATATATTCCATGACTTGCAAGTAAAACCCTTACCTTTCTTTCTTATTCGCTGGACTCTTCCTACGTAAACTAAAATCCCAACAATGTCACAGAGATATTTGTCGGGCAAATCATTCAGTTCAGCTCTAAAAAAACCCAGAATGGTTAAAGAAATATGTTTCTTTAAACAATGAAATAGCATTTTATAATTATGACTATGAACATGTTTATCTACAGAATTACGGCAGCATGCATTTGGGTAGGTCTTGAGTGTATTATATTATGTTTCTGAGGCTAAGGCTGAAAATTAGTACTGGAGACATCTTACAAGAAACTATTTTACCTTGTAACAAATTGATGAGTTAATTTTGGCAATCCCCATTGTGATTTCACCTGATTTTCTGGAATCATATGTATATTAGTTTGAGGCTGTTGAAGGTTCAGGCAGATTTCTGAAAAGGATATATACTTTTTTAATAAGACATTTAACACATGCAGAAGAAGAGATGCATAAATTATACACCAAAATCATACAGTGAATACTTGTGAAGCCACTATTAAGCTCAATAAGTAGATCTTCTATTTCCATTATATGTCCACTTACGTCTTCATCAAATGTTATTTATGCATTGAATTCAGTAACTTATCATTTCTTTAAAAAAAACAAAGATTTTATCACTTATGCATTTTTTCCAAGCAAAATACTATTTTAGTTTACTTTTAAGCTTTGTATGAATAAAATCATACCACATAAAGTCTTCTAGGGCTATTTTTTCACTCAGCATTATGGTCCTAGATCTATTCTATGTTGTTTAATATTACAGGTGTTGGTTTTATTCATTTTCTACTGTTGAAAGTGTTCCATTAGTCAAGGAAGTCATGGTGGCACTGTCAGGTAAACATTGGACTGCCAACTCAAAGATCAATGGTTCATACCTGCCAGCTGCTCTGAGGGAGAAAAATGAGGCTTCCTACTTCCATAAAGATGTACAACCTCAGAAATTCTTTATCGGGTTGCTATGAGTCAGAATTGACTAGATGTTGGATTGAGTATTGGTTAGCTAATTGAAAGATTAGACTCTACCAGCCATTCTGCCAGAGATAGCTGAGGTAGTGTACTTCTGTAACGTTTTAGAGCCTTGAAAACCCTAGGGAGCAGATCTACTATAATTTGACCATTTTTTGTACACGTTTCCCTGGTCTCACACAAGGGCAAGAATTTTTCCAAGCCATATACCTAACAGTGGATATCCTGAGTTGGTAGGCATGCAAATGCTTAACTCTACAAGATAGTCTTAAATTAATTATTTTAAGTAATCTACCTCTTTACATTGCTATTAGTAATGATCCATATCTTTTTATATTGGGGGATTCATTAATTTCTTGGTTTTTGTCAATCTGGCTATGCAAAATAACAATTTGTTATTTTTGTTTGTTTACAATATCCTTATTACTAATGATTTTGAACAGTGTTTCACAGTTTCTGATTCAGGCACACACCCTCTTTGGTGAAAGGCCTTTTTGTGTGTCTTTTGTACAGTTTCCTATTACTGGATTGTTTGTTACTTTCTTATTTATTGGATTATCACATTTTCCTATTATTTGGATACTAATCCTCTGTGGATCATATATGGGTATACATCATTTATTGTCCATTCGGGCAATATCTGACCACATACATAAAGGGGCTTCAAAGAGTTCATGGGAAAATTCTATTATCCTTTGGATCAATTTTTGAAGCCCCCTTGTCCTATAAGGTTTTGTTTTTTTGTTTTCCAGAAGGAAAGTTGTCCTTCTTTTGCTTATTATTGACCTCTAATGGGTTTAAAGACTCCAAACCAAGATTCTTGCAGCATTGGACCCTAGGTGGGACAGAGGTAGGAGGTGAGGCAGAGGATATGGCTCTAAGCGTGGAGTCGGTGACTATCTGGCAGGCATGTGGACAGCAGCCGCCATTCACACTGCTCCTGCTACTTGGGTGGGCACAAAAGTGGGCAGGGCTGGGCATGCTCACCTCCCATACTGAATGCTCCTCCAGCCTCTGCCCCCACTTCTAGCAGCTTTTAAAGCAGCAATGAGGATATCTGGAATTGGACTGCCACAAGATTTTAATAAGATCTTTGAACAAGGTCCAAATCATATATCATCCTATTTCATAGAATGCATTGTGGATATTAAATGATTCATACCTATAACTACAAATATCTCCCCCCATTTGTGGTTTCCTCCTTTTCTTTATGGTATCATTTTAGAAAAAAAAACTTAATTTCAGTATGGTTAGGTTTATGAATCCTTTTTAATAGTTTCTATTTCTTAAATCTTGCTTGTGATTTTTCACTTTATCCTAATGTAAAACTAATATGTTCTGTAAGTTCTTTTAAAAGTTTTACATATGTCTTTAGATATATTTAATGTGTCTGAAACCAATTTTAATATCATATGAGACTAGGTATATGAAAGCATTTTCGCTACTTATAATCAGTTGTTCCCTGATGATTTGCTCATATATGGTACACCTGTCATATATTAAAGTTCTCTGTGTCTAGGGCTGTTCTTTAATTCTGTGCTGTGATTTATTGGTCAATTTATCTCTATCAATACCAATACGGGCACCCTAGTGGCATAGTGGTTAAGTGTTGGGCTGCGTTCTGAAAGGTTGGCAGTTTAAGTCCACCAGCAACTCCTCAGAGAAGGACTGGGTGTTCTACAACAGGAGACAGTGGCAGTCTTGGAACTCAAGAGGGCAGTTCCATCTGGTTCTGTAAGGATGCAATGAGTTGGCATTGATTCGATGGCGGTGGTTTTTTGAGCAAGTTATACCAATACCACATTGTCCTAAATACTACAGATTCATAAAAACATTTTGGGCACCTGAATATGCTTAGTTGTAGGAAAGAATTTATAATTTAATTCACCTAATAATATATGTTGTAAATTGTGTTCATCTTAATAAATTTCATTGCATTTTTCTCAAGGAAGTCTTATCTCTGTTAGCTTAATTTTTCATCTTTCTATTGTAAAGGAGTAGAGAGATAATGAACTAATTGTATAAAACTATCAAGGTAATAACTTCAACTATCAATGAGCAATAGCTAAAAAATGCTCAGGATGTTAAGAAAAATTTTGGCCAAGAAACATATTTCAGCAAATAATGAGCAACTGCTATATTGATCTGAATATTCTCTAAGTAATTAAGTTTAATTGATTAGCTGGAGAATTCAGACTATGTAGAAACAGGTTCAATAACAAATATTATCAGCCTCCAAACAGGAACTTGTTGGTTGATCTAATCTGCAATTCGTAAAAATAAAAAAATACCCCAAAGTCACATTTACATCTTAAAGTAATCACTTTTAATGTTCCCAAAATATGTGGGATACCAAGATATCAAAGTCTTTCACTTCAAAATTAATTCATTTAGAAAAGCCCTTTCAAAATGACAATTGGCAGGATTGGAACAGTAATGGTAAGTTAGCTATTTGTACTCTACTAATTGTAAATGTCCCAGTTTTGATAAATGTACTGTGATTATATAATGGAATGCACTTCTCCTTAGGAAATGTACACTGAAATAGGATTGGAGTATTTCAGAATTTGGGGGATGTGTGCATGTATATATGTAAGGGAGAGGGGGACAGAGAGAAAGAGAGAGAGAGAGAGAAAATGATAAAGTAAAGGTAAATGTGAACAATTCTAGGATGTGGGTGAAATACATATGGGAGTTCGTTATGCTATTATTTCAAATTTTATGTAACCATGAAATTAGTTCAAAGTTAAAGTTAACAAAGCTTTACAAGATAGTATCTAACACCGACAGCAAGATAGATTCATCCTTAACTTGACACTGTGTGATTAAAAACAAGAAAACAAAAATAGGCTGGAATTGATTTGATACCAGTCAGTTTTCAGAAGTGGAGCTCATTTGTTAACCAACAGTAAATACCTCAGATGATTTTTTCTTAATAAATGCCATACTAAGTTAATATACTTCTTAAACTATGTGACTGTTAGGAAATATGAATTTTAAGGATATAAGAATATGATATATTGCCATTTTTTATTATATATATAAAACTAAACTCACTGACATCGAGTCAGTTCTGACTCATAGTGACCCTATAGGACAGGGTAGATCTGTTGTGTGTCTCCCCCAGCCACCGTCACATGAGTTTCTGAGACTATAACTCTTTACAGGAGTAGAAAGTCTCATCTTTCTCCTGTGGAGTGGTGTGGCTGGTCGTTTGAAACTGCTGACCTTGTGGTTAGCAGCCCAATGCATGCCACCAGTGTGCTCCTTTTGTCACGTAGTATTTAGTAATTTTTGTAATGACTGTTCTTTGCAAATTTATACAAACAAAATAGCCATCAAATAATTTGATTGTCTACTTAACCGATTGTAGAAATTAGTTTCATCTGTGCATCCACAGGGATTAGCGGCTTCTTCATTGGATAACTCTGCTTAACGGAGTAATCTCGAAGCAGAAGAACTGAACCAACGTTCAGACATTTATACCACTCAGGACACAAAGAATTCCACATAACCACTGAAACCATGCCAGAGCTATCAGCAACATCCAAAAATGCCTAGAAAAGAAGTATGAAAAATACATTTGTTATCCACACAGATGATATATAAGAATATCATCATAATATTAATATTATCTGTGATATTTTAAAATAACATCTAAACTTTAGTAATTTACTAGTGATGATTTACTTGTCAACTCTGCTAAGTACTGCTAATGTGAAGAAGAGATTTACAAGTCCAAACTTTTGTGTGATGGTAAATACTAAGAACACAGATCCAGTATTATTTCTCTTGGGTTCTCCCATCATCTTAGCACAGTGCCTGGAACAGTGCAGCCACATAAGATAGTTGTTAAATGGAAGAAACCAAGTTGCATTTTAGAGATTCCAAGTATAGATCCTGACTTCATATGTATTATTTTGAAGTCTTGGGGGAGCCCTACTACTTCTAAGGCTTTTGATAGACATATCTTATGAATTGAGTTGTGTCCTCTTCCCACTAGACTCCTCACAAAATGTGTCTGGATCCTCACTTTGATACCTGTGGGTTGAAGTCATATCACAGTAGGACGTGTCTTAAACCTAATCACTTTTGAGATATAAAAAGGGCAGATTAGGTACAGAAGCAAGCAAACACAAATGTGGGAAAAATAGATGCCAAGTAGAGATCTCCAAGGATCTGAGGAAAACTGAGACAAGGGGTTTCCCACGGAGCAAAAGGAGACAGCGTTCCTGTAGAGGTGGTGTCCTGAATGAGGTTTTTTTCACCATACAAATAGAAAAACAAGTTTCTGTTCATTAAAGCAATCCACTTGTAGTATTTATGTTACAGCAGAATGAAGAAGATAAACAGCAGGTAGATTATGAGCAAAAGCATAGAAATAGAAAACAGATTTTTATGAAAAAACTTTTAGGAAATCTGGCTGGTGTAGATTTTGTATAGAGAGTTCAAGAGGGAGGAGACCGGGGAGAAGCAGGGACAACATGATGGCGACACAGGAAAAGGGACAAGTGAAGCTCAAATTCAAGGAAGAAAGTATTCCAAGAATCTTGCAGCAAAATCCACAGGAGAATTAATGAATGAAACCTTTTTAGTGATGTGAAAAAATACATAAGACAATTTTAAAAGAAGGCAAGATACAAAATTGTACACAATTCCCATTTCATAAAGTAATGTGACATATAGCAGTCATTCACAGACAATAGACAACATATGTGCATATGTGATATGTGATCTGCAGATGTGGTGCAAGCTGACTGTACTCAGCGGCTCATCAAATGGCTGGCGAGTCAAACCCACCCAGCAGTGTTACAGAAAAAAAACCTGCCACTCTGCTTCCATAAAGATTATAGCCAAGAAAACCCTATGGAGTCCAGTTCTATTCTGTAATAGATGGGGCTACCAGGAATCAGAATTGGCTCAAAGGCACTTTTTTTTAATACTACGATATATGTACATATGATATACAAATATATTTGTGTATGTTTATGTGTGCATACATACACACAGATAGAGAATAAACCATATCAAAATATTAATAGTGGTTCTGAGTAGTAGGGTTTGAGTTAATATATTCTGTTTATGGATTTCTACATTTTTCCAAATTATGTATAACTATAATAACAAAAATGCAATAAAACACTAAAAGGATTATGACTAACATGGGAAGTAATAAAATGTTAATTAGGTCACAAATTTATTATGAAAGAATTCTCATTAGCTTTATATGCCACAGCGTCAAGATGCAGAAAAAGGGTCAAACAAATTTGACAATGAGAAAGGCACTAGTTGGGAAACACGGCTTGAAGAAGCCAAAAATTTTCTGTAGAGACGTGAAAACATCTAGTATAACAAAAGTAACAAAACAAAACAAAAGTATAGTCTACTTTTTCAAGCAGGTTGGCCTAAAGAGGAGAGAAGTGAGTCATGAGGTAAGGCAGCTGTTTTTCTTTTTAAAAATAATTTTATTGTTGGCTTTTACAGTTTTTATCACAATCCATATATCCAACCACTGTGTCAAGCATTGAGGCAGCTGTTTTTTAAATGTGAGATTAAAGTATGTTTATACTTGTATGGGAAGCAGCCATAGAGAAGAAGTTAAATAAACAGAAAAAAGAGTGGAGGAGATCAGCTATAGCAGAAAACTTAAGGGCATCAACACAAAGAATTTCTCTTTGTACCAGAAATCATACAGAGGAAAAATAAATCAACATGTTTATGTGTATTTCTATTTAGTGATGATGATAATTTATAAAGCGTTATTTAAAAATATCCTAATATGGAGTCAGGGCTGTACATTATACTCTCAACTTTACAATAGCATACAGTATCTTATGGTCACTCATACCTGGTAGGGCTCGATTACATTTTTATTAGGTTTCCCATAGTATTGCAGTTTTGATTTATGCAAGATTCTTACAAGCAGTGCAGGAAAATAACATCTGTTAGTCCAAGTTATTTCAAGGTTAGACAGAGAAATTATTTTCATAGCTAGAATAAAAATAGAAAAATAAATCATAGTTAAAACATCATGGTAATTTCAAAGATCTATTTTATTTTTTAAGTGCTTATTGGAGTAAGATTTGCCGAGCAGATCGAATTTGTTGAATTCATACCCATTCTGAGTCAACTTGTCCCAAGATTTATTTTAATGGTTAAAAATTACTATAGCCAGATAATACTCAAAACAATGACTTCTTGCCAGCAAAGCTAGTCTATATACCTCTCACACATTCCATTTAGTAACATAAAACTCTGGATTTTGGCACACATTGTTAAATATAGAATGTCCTCCATATCTTGCTGTGGAATTATTTCATGGAAGATTTGGATCTAAACTTACTACTCTTAAGGTATTTTATGAAACCATCCTGGTGCCACACAATAATTTCCTCTTCCTAAGCACTTCCATATTCAATTTTATAGAATTGTTTCGTGGCATTTTTAGTTATTTTTCTCCCATTGGTTTCATATCTATAAATTCCATCTCCCCCAAAGATCCCAGCCATGTTCCTGAGTCTGGGTCCTTGCCCTTGCTATTCCGTTTGTCTGAAATGTCTTCCACTCCCTCAGGTTCTGCTCAGAAATCACTTTACCTTTGATCTCCCTAACCAACCTGTTGAAAACTGACCCCTTTACTTATCCTCCATCCCACTTAGTTTCTTTCAAATGTTTTTATCTTCAAGCCCACTGGCAAAGACTAATGCTGCCTAATAGTTATTTATCTACTAAAGCAAACACCATTTCTGTTCACAAAGGTATTATCTAGTCAACATCTTCGTATTAAAACCATACTTGTACAACAAAACCAATGCAAGTCAGAACTCAATGGAACTGCCTTGTTTTTCTAAGCCTTGAACATTTTCTGTCTTTGACAGGGTTTTTCACTTACTAGTAAAAGCAGTTTTACTACTTCTCTATTGCTCCATGTTAGTAAGGGGAAAAAATGAGTTTTCTTTCTTTGGCAGATTTCCTCCTTAAATAGGTTCTGGTTTTCATAGGTCTAACTGTAATTTCTTTTAAATGGGATTTTAAATGGTGCTTCACAATTGACACTCTGGGTTAGGGGTTGGGCTGCTAACCAAAAGGCCAATGATTCAAACCTGTCAGCTGCTCCACTAGAACAAAAATGAGGCTGTCTGTTCCCATAAAGAGTTCAACTCAGAATTCTCAGATAGAATTTAATTGAGTTGATGGCAGTAGGCTTGAGTTTAGGGCATCGTACCCCAAACCATTATTTTCAGCATTATTAAGATGCCTTGTATAATTTTCCTTCTAGATTATCCCAATACATTACAAGCCCAGGACCATAAATTCTAATATCTGATTGAATATAATTGACTTCCTTTTGAATGTTGTCAAACAAATCATGGGTGGTAGCAGCAAAGATGAAGTAACTCGTTTTAAATCTATCAGACTTGATGATGGGCTGAAAAAGTTAAAGTTAGATTTCTTATTGCATCCCACATGAAACAAAAGCTGACTGGAATAAAGAGTTAAATGTAGAGCACTGAAATGTCAGAAGAAAATTTTGGAACATTTCTTCATAATCTTTATTTAGAGTTGGCCTCCTTAAGCAAAGCCACCAAATGGGGAACCAGAAGGCTAGCAGGTTTGATTACACGTAAGATAAGTCTTAGAGGTACAAAAAGCAACGCAAACAAAGTTTAGAGGAAAAGAACTGGACGTGAACAAATAATTGGCATTATACAAGGGTAAGTTCAAAGTATTGCTACAAGAGTTCTAGTTCAGACATGAACCGGTTTATTTTTAGATCTAAAAAGGTGTCTAAACATGTCTCTTCTACCAGTGGATGGAAACAAGGAAGTTCTCTCAGTAATACACTTGTCTTAGTTTCCTTAGGTTGCCTTCAAAAACAAAGGTCCAATGAAAACAGCAGCCTCTGAGGGTACCTGCAGGGCCAGCACATGGACATAGTACTTTTGTGATAAAATATAGTTTCGATAAGTGAATAGATACTACTCTTTCAAAAAGAATTAAAAACACTTTAAAGTTATTATCATATGAAGTCTTCTAGAAGCCATTGAGTCTATTCTAAATCATAGCAACCCTATAGGACAAAGTAGAACTTCTCTGTGGGTTTCTGAGACTCTAAATCTTTAAGGCAGCAGAACGTCTGCTCTTCCTCCCAAGGCACAGCAAGTGTATTCGAACTGCTGACCTTGAGGTTAGCAGTTCAGTGCATAGCCCACTATGTCACCAGGGCTCCATTCTGGCTCATGGTAACCCTATATAGGGTTTCTGAGCCTGAAAATTGGTGGGGAGTCAATAGCGTCATCTTTTCCTCATGGAGTGACTGATGAGTTCAAACTGTTGACCTTGCCCCCAGGGCTCAATTCTGACAGATCACTAATGGAGAAGATAGCCTTATCTTTGAGATCATTGGAGGGTGTGAACCATGACTTTTCCATGAGCAACCTAGCAGCTCACTCACAGCTCCACCAAAATTCTTTAACCAAACAGGGGCGATATGAGACCGAGCTACTCAAGTACAGTCAACAAAGATACTCAATTCTAAAAACCAAAATATTGACATAAAGTATTAATGTAATCCTGCTTCATCTCATGAGACAAAATCACTTCATTACTTCATAACCAACTGAAATGTTAATTTTGCTTTTGAACCGCAATAATTTACTTTAATCATGTATTCCCCCATATAAGGTGATTTATTCTACAATTACATAAATTGGGATACGTTGGGACAATTTTTTTAAATGACTGACAGATATTGAATGTAGAAAATCATTCTACTACTAAAGAGAGCCTCCATATTTATTGCCATCAAGTTGATTTAGACTCCTAGAGATCCTATAAGACAGAGAATAACGGCTTCTATGAGTTTTCCGAGATCCTAAATCTTTATGTTCTAATTTTCCCTGAGCAACCCAGCGCCTAAGTCACAGGGCTATCAGGGCTTCTTAACCCCATGGATCAGTTCCACTCTACACCACAGGGGGCGCCACCAGTCAGGGCTACTTGAGCTTAGTCAAGAACAACAATATTCAATCTAAAATTCAAAATGGTGAATACTGACCAGTAACAGGCTCCTGCTTCATCTCGGGCATGTGATTAAATCACTTCCATTAGTTTACATGTGAAAAGTTCGTCTTGTGTTTAAGCACAATCATTTTTTTTCATCCATCTTTCTTACAACATGGTTTAACTTTAATTGTATACATTTGGACGCATCGTTACAACTTAAAAATATGACTTACTACTCCAGCGCCAGGGCTCCATTCTTACTGATGGCGACATCCTACATAGGGTTCCCCTAGCTAACAATCATTACAAAAGCAGATAGCCTCTTCTTTGAGGCCGCTTGGTGGCTTGGTATAAACCACCGACCTTTCCCTGAGCCAACTACCGCCTAAGCCACAGCGGCACCAGGGCTTCTCAACCCTATGGAGCAGTTCCATTCTCCACCACAAGGGGGCGCCAAGAGTCAGGGCTACTCACGCACAGTCAACAACAATATTCAAATCTAAACTTCAAAATGGCGAACGCTGACCAGTAACAGACTCCCGCTCCATCTCATGCATGCAATTAGTTCACACGTGAAAAATTCCTCGTGTTTGAACACAATCATTATTTCAGCCATCTTTCTTACTTATAAAATTATTTAACCTTAATTGCATACATTTGGACGCATCGTTACAACTTAAAAAAGTGATTGATAGAAAGTAAATGAGGAAAACCGTTCTTCTAAAAGAATCCCCAAAACCTGCAAAACCACTGCTAGCGAGTCGATTCCAACTCCTAGCCACCCTATATGACAGAGTAGAACTGCCCCTGTGTATTTCTGAGACTAAATCTTTAGAGGGAGAGAAAGCATCATTTTTCCCGCCAAACGGCCGGAGGTTCGAACTGCTGACCTTGCCACCAGGGCTCCATTCTGACTCATGGGGATCCTACATAGGCTTCCCCACCCTAAAACTCATTGTGCGAGCAGATAGTTTCATCCTCCAGGTGGCAGGTGGGTTGGAATCAACCACCATTCCCTGAGCTAACTAGTGTCTAACCCACAGCACCACCATGGCTCCTCAAAAGCATGGCGCATTCTGCATCACATTGGGGGGAGGGGCAGGCGCAAGACAATTTACGTGCAGTCAACAACAGTATTCAATTCTGAAAACGAAAATGTGGAACAATACCGAGCAGTAACCCATTCCTTCCATCGTCCCATTCATTAGGTAAATTCACTTCCATTATGTTATATCCAAACGAAATGATCACCTTACTTTTGCAATGCAATCATTCATTTAAACTACCACTTTCCCCCCTTATAACGTGATTTAACTGTAATTGCAGGTAGCTTGCCCCATTGAGACAACTTACAAAAATGAATGGCATCCAATAAATATAGAAAATATTTCTTGTACTCAAAAACAAACTCTCCTCCAAATCATTTGCATCAAGAGGTTTCTGATTCATAGAAAGGTTTTTAAAATCATTTTTAATGGCAACCCTTTATTACAGAGAAGTGTTCTCCTTGATTTTCCAGAGTCTAAATATTTATAAATGCTTGAGAAAGCCTCATCTTTCTCCTATATATCGAGGGGGGATTTGAACTGCTGCCAATAAGAATAGCAGGTCAGTGTAAATCTTACTACTCCACCGCAAGGCAAAAATTGCAATGGTGAACAGTGACTATATTAAAGTACTCTTGCCTCATCTCATGAAGGGTAAAATCACTTTCATAAGTTCATACCTGAAAATTTCGTCTATACTTCAACGCAATCATGTATTTCAACCCTCTTGTTTTCTTATAACATGATTTAAGTATAATTGCATATATTTGGACACATTTTACAACTTAAAATTTTACTGACAGAAAGTAAATGTATTAAACCATCCTTTTACCAAAGGAGAACAAAGGAAAATAAAATAACCTCCTAAATCTCTGCTATCAAGTTGATTCCAAGGCCTAACCTCACCTTACGACAGAGTAGAACTGTCCTTGTGGATTCCCGAGGGTCTAAATCTTTACACAAACATCAAGCCTCATCTCTCTCTCATGGAGCCAATGGGAGGTTCGGACGGCTAACTATGCCACCAGGGCTCCATTTTGACTCCTGGCGACCTACATAATTTCCCTTCTAACTTGATTTAATATAATTCTATACATTTCCGCGTATTGTGAAGACAATTTTAAAAAAATGACTGAGTAAATGCAGAAAATCTTTCTTCTACTAAAAAACAAACAAACAAAACCTCCCCACACTACCATCGGATCGATGCTGACTCATAGCGACCCTATGGGCTTCTGAGGTAATAACTTTTTAAAAAACCAAACAGTTTCATTGGCATATATTTCACATATGATACAATCCATTAGTTCAATCCTATCAATAAGTGCTCCACAATCATCAACTTTAGACATTTACTTTCCTTTTGATCCCATTTCCATGAGATCCCAACTCTCCCCAATCTTAGTATTCATACCCATACATTCACTTTTCTAATCAAGATGAACATAAATAACATTGCCTGCACTTACAACTTATTCTTTCCCACAACTCAAACCCATAAATCCTTCGGCCAATTCTGAGGAGTGGAAACGAACGTTAATTTCCCTGAAGTTAAACGCACAACCCACCAAATGAAGAAACCCGCCTGAAACATCACGCAAATTTTGCCCTATTTATCACTCCTGGCTTGTTACCAAGAATCCAAAAGCGCCTCCCTACCTCCTCCCACACCTTATTTTCTTCCCAGAAAACTTTTTTAAAAGCCCTCCATCGTTTCCCTCCAATTACTTACATTTCACATTAATTTCCTCAGCTTGCTTGTTAGTTAACCAGATATCACCGTATGGATCTTCATTGTTCCACAGCGCAAGGTAGTGGCTTTTCACGCCCCTCAAGGGTCTCTCAGGTTTCATCTTCTGGGCGCGATTTCTGAAGGGAGTTTCTACAGAAATCGCTTCCATGTTCCCACCACAGAGGAGTTTAGCTATCCACAGGATCTCTTGCCTTACCCGTCTCTCGTTGTAAAGACACAAGACTCTAGAAATTATCACTTCTTTGCCAACTTTAAGAATATTGTTATATACGAGAAAGTTCAGATTGGGGTCTAAGAAACACTTCTCCTGGTACACCCCGTCAGAAATCGTCACATCAAAGCAGTAATTGGTCAGCCTGGATAATTGGTCGCGTGGGTCATCCTCTAAGAGGTATCTTTGGATGGCCAACACAGCGACAGGCTGTACATCTGACAGATTGATCCACCTGCGAGGTGTGTCAATCGCTTGCTCCATAACCTTTTGGATCCAGGACTTGGGCTCTAGGGTTTTACACATTTGCGTCACCCCTCCCGTCACCCCATGCCATTCTCGCTCACGTTTCTCCTGGTCTGAGCCAGCGTGTGAGGGGCCAGACTGGCTAGAATTGCTTGACATTGGGGAAAAATTGGTAGCCATCCTGCTCACCTCAAACTAATTCTCCCGCCCCCTCAAACTGAGAGAAAAAAGAAACCACGGCTGTATCTTCGTTTCCATCCAGTCAGCGACTGGCTTTTGCGCGCCAAGCTGACTGGAAAGGCTCCGTCCCTGCGACGTTCTGTGCGCGCCTGCGCACCTCACTTGGCCCCGCCCCCTACCCGCCCAGGACCTCCCCGCCTCACCCGTTGCCCCATGCTGACCCGGACGTGCTTGCCCCCTACCAGATGTCTTGTTACTAGGCAGACAGCTACCTCTTCACACAGATTGCTGCCTGAGGCCCGGATAACTTGGGAGCATTGACAAAAGGTAGGGGTCGCCAGAGTCCCTAAAGAATCACAGGAAGGAGAGGAAAGACGCTTGTGGCGCCCCCTAGAGGCAATAGAAAAGAGAAAGCGAACCGATTACAAGGAACTATATGTGACCTCCTCCCTGGGGACGGACAACCGAAAAGTGGATGAAAGGAGACATCGGACAGGGCAAGATATGATAAAATAACAATTTATAAACTATCAAGGGCTCATGAAGGAGGGGGGAGCGGAGAGGGAGGGGAAAAATAAGGACCTAATGCCGGGGGTTTAAGTGGAGAGAAAATGTTTTGAGAATGATGAGGGCAATGAATGTGCAAATGCGCTTTACACAATTGATGTGTGTATGGATTGTGATAAGAGTTGTATGAGCCCCTAATAAAATGATTTTTAAAAAAAGGAAAAAGAAAGAAAGAAAAGAGAAAGCGTTTGAAAGCAGCATGTGGGTGATCCTAGCTCAAGAGTTAGGGATGGGGCGTCTGCTATGGAAACTAAATTAGAGTTGATGTGTATATAGGCACATGACTCTGAACCTTGTGCTATTTTAAAGAACTAACTAAATAAGATCACTATGAGTTGATATCACTCGATGGTAGTGAGTTAGACCTACATGGGAGCATACTGACAGCAGTAACTTGAAAGAGTAGATAAGAAACTTTGTGGGACAGTGAGTTTGTGCGAATGAAGGAGGGGTAATTTGGAAAAGAAAGGGGCAAGTGGATGCACACCTTAAAGGATGCAGTCAGTTTGTGTCGCTGAATTGTACTTGTGGAAGTTGTTAAATCTGTGCATGTTCTGCTGTATATGTTTGGTATAACAGCCAAATAAAATCAAGTATTTTTAAAAATAGAATTCAGGAGATCCTAAGATTGCAAGCTATAAAACATCATTACTCTTTAGAACTACTTATTGGTATGGATAAGGATTTTTGTCCTGTGTAACCAAAATAAAGTGCAAAAAGTAAACAGGCTATATATACACACACACACATATGTATACATATATATATACACACACATGCACACATGTGATAGCATGGGTCTTCTATTGTATGAAATAAATATGATAATAGATGCACAGCCTTCAGGGCAGTCTGTAACACAGATGGACTTCAGGAAGTATTGGCTGCTATTATTATTAGCATTAGCACAATTGCCTGTAGTGGCTTTCCGAGTGTACAGATGGATGGATCAGAGAAGTGCAAATGAAAAAAAATTGTAAAACTGTCTTAGTTAAAAGCCAATGGATTAAACTTCTTAAATATAGTCTCTCCATGTGTACATGCACACACATATGCAATACTTAGTTTAATATACCACTGGGACATAGTATTTCTGAAGGAATTAAACTAGAATTATGAATAGATCTGCCTCAGAGCATTTCCAAGCCTGGGCTTTTGACTGAAAAGGTTGGACATATCTTTTTCCTGTGCAGCATCAAACGCTGTGGTACCAGACTCCTTTTATAAAGAATGAATGTAAACAGAAATAAAAACTGATACGGATAGTCAGAATTAAGAATAAAACATTTATGATATATACCTAGATTTGTCATTGTACAGCAAACCAAAAAGCAAACTCACTGCTATCAATTTGATGCTGACTCATAGCAACCCTATAGGACAGGGTAATACTGTCCCTGTGGATTTCTGAGACTGTAACTCTTTACAGGAGTAGAAAGCCTCATCTTTCTCCCATAGAGTGGTTGGTGGTTTTGAACTTCTTAACCTTACAGTTAGCAATCCAATGACTAACCACTACTTAATACCTTGTAATTTAAAAAAAAACACTACTTTTTAATGGATATAGTACTTAATATACATTTAATATATGTATTCCATGTATTGATCTATGTATTCCATCTCTCTAAGATCCTGACTGGCACAGTGGTTAAATGCTGAGCTGCTAACCCAAATATCTGAGGGTTTGAACCCATCAGACCTCTCCCCTGCAGAAAGGTGTGGCAGAAGGTTTCCATAAATATTACAGCCTTAGAAATGTTAGGGGGGCAGTTACACTCTATCCTATAGAATTTCTGTAAGTCAGAATCAACTGGATGGTAATGAGTTATGCAATCTCTCCAACTCAGTTTCTCAGCCTGGTACTCTTGACGTTTGGAGGCTAGAAATGTTTTTGTTGTGTGCCATGTTGAGAATTGTATGATGTTTAGCAACAGCCTTGGCTTCTGCCACCATATGCTCATGTCACTTTCTTCTTTAGTTGTGACAATCCAAAATCTCTCCAGACATTGCCAAAGATACTTTAGGACCAAAATAGTCCTTGGTTGGGAACCACTGATCTAACTAGACCGTAAGCCTTTTGACATCAGAAATTGATTTGTTTTGTCTTTATATGGTCACTATGAGTTGGAATTGACTTAATGGCAGTGAGTTTGAGAGTTACATACCTCTTTTTTTTAATCTTTTAATTACGGACTCATACAACTCTTATCACAATCCATACATACATCAATTGTATAAAGCACATTTGTACATTCATTGC